GGCCTGAGTCAGTTTAAACAAGCGGGATTTGGGGCGCATGCACAAACACACATGTGTGCCCAGTGTACTTTTCAAGCCACCAGGGCTGGGACTTGACACCATGGAGTTACCTCTGTGGGATTCAGCACTTTAACCACCTCCTGCCTCATAGCTAATATTTTAACATTGCATGTGGAAAGTAATTGACTTATAAATGAATCATTGGAATTTGACAGATTAGAAATTTGGGACTACCTTTGTTGAGATTAGAGTCGAGTCATTTTTTAAGGATTTTGATTTAAGAAAAAAGATACAGTGATTCTGTGTTTTAGAAGTATATGCTTTCCTGAATAACTTTTGTAAGTACAAAATTCATCAGAGATGATGAATTTTTTAAATTTGTCAGAGGGTAGAGGTGCTCGCCAGAGAGAGAAAGCAAGCATTCCCCACGCCGTGTGGCCACGCCATGATCCCTTCTCCGTGTCTCCCTCTGACTGGGTGTGCATGACCGGCATGTTTCTTAAATTGTCAGTGAACCGCAGGGTCGACCATGTGGGGTCCAGCTGCCTTAGCCACCAGGCCACCGGCTGGCCTGGAGATTGTGAATCTTGAAACTGACTACATTTTCTCCTTTGCTGTTGGGTACTAGGAAGTTTTGTAGAGCTTACTTAGAATGGAAAATGGGTTATTTATAAACTTCATGGTGTTACTTGTGAAAAGCTTTCTTCTACAGCCTGTGATGGTGATGTCATTTTACCCTATTTTTTTTTTCTTGGTAGTTTGCTATAGGGTGCATGTGCTCATCAGGGAGATATACGGAGAGAGGGAAGTAGAAACCACTGCCCGGGGTGTCACATGTTGGGGCATGGCCACTCTGCAGTCTCTTCTTTCATTCTCCCAGGATTTTGGGCATGCATGCACATGTGCCTGGTGTGATTTTTCAAGCTGCCAGGTCTGGGATTTAAACCAGGCAGTTGGCCATATGGAACCCTGCTGCCTTGGCCTCTGTGCCACCTGCTGGTCCCACCAATTTCTTATATTAGCGCCAGAGGGCAGGTGTGCTCACCAGAAGGAGAGAGGGAGCATACAAGTGAGCAGGTGCACCCCGTTGGGGTGTGACCACCTGCAGTCCTTTCATCCTTTCTCCACTCCCTGGGGGCTTGAGGGCGCACAGCCCCACAGAGCACGTTTCTCCCCACAGTCGGACATGTGGGAGCTGGCGCTGTGGCAGCTTACCCACTCTGCTATAGGGCCAACCCTACTCTTACAGCTGTTTTTTTTTTTTTTTTAATCATTATTTATTTAATTTTACTTAATCATTCATTTTAATTTGATCAGAGAATACACAGGATACAGAGAGAGAGAGAGAGAGAGAGAGAGAGAGGGAAAGTAAGAAAGCAAGCCACCAGGTCTGGTATTCGGACTGCAGTGGACCATGTGGGAGTGTCCAGCTCCTTAACCACCACACCACCTGCTAGTCCCATACACTTACAGCTGTTAATAGTCATGTGGCTGTGGGAACCAGCAGTTAACGTAATGGCTATGTCACTGGACTCCCACGTAGTTGACCGCAGTTCGCGTCCTGGACCCGATGGCTTAAAACTCACGCCGGGCATGTGTGCGTGCGTGCCCAAGATCCCAAGAGGAGAATGGAGGAGAAGGGATTGCGGCGTGACCATCCCCCCTTGGGGGTGGTTTCTCACTTTCTGTCTCTAATGTCTTTCTCTGTCTGGCGAGTGCACGCACCCTATGGCGAAAATCTCTCCAAAAAAAAAAAAAAAAAAATAGCCATGTAGTTGTTAGGAGCCTGAGATACAGAACTCGCTAACCCTTACAGAATTCTGCCCATGCTGCTTACCATGGCCAAGTACTGTTCAAGACATTTATTTGTACTTTATGTAATAGGAAACTGAAGATCAGCGACTGTTAATGTAACTACCAAGGTCCAGCTGCTGGTAGCCTGTCCGCTGGGACTCCGGGTTGCCCTGACTCCAGCACCTGCCCCTTCGGAGCTTCATTGCCTTTGGGGAGACTCAGGGCAGGGAAGGGCAGGGCAAGGCACTGGGAAATACTCTCTTCTTCCTGTCTGTCCTCTGCTGCAGTGGGCTCTTGTAATCAAACAGGTCATGTGAAGAGGCCTCACGAGTTTGATTCTAAATCTAAGCTGTTTGTGCTCATTATAAACTGTATATCTGTCTGTTTTTTTTTTTTTTTGGTAGAAAAAGCAACGGTGTAGATTCGATGGCCAAGAAACAAATGGACCCAAGTTGATTACCTCCGGTGCAGGCGACTTCAGCGACCCGGTTTACAAAGAGATTGCTATTGCAAATGGCTGCATTAACAGAATGAGCAGGGAGGAACTCAGGGCTAAACTTTCAGAACTCAAGCTGGAGACCAGGTGATTAGAAAGAACTTGCTACAGTTATAAAAGTAGTACATGCTTGGCTAAGAAAATCTTAGACACTAGAAAGTCAAAAATCACCACCCTGCCATAGAGAGCCATCCTCGCCGTTTGTGTAGCAGCCCTAATTCCATTGGTGTGAGTCTTGGGGTGCTGTGTGATGGTCTCTGTCAGCCTTTAGCTAATGGGATGGGGGTGCTGAGTCAGATCTGTTAACGAGACTCTGAGTGATACCAGCCATGTGTGGGGATGTCTAGCTCATAACAAGTGTGTTTTTAATTCTTTTTAATTGCTCATTTAGTTGATGGGCAATGATATCTTATTAATGAGATTGAATATATTTTAAAAATACTCTTCTGTCTATTTGTATTGTTTTTATAAAGATTTGTTTGAAACTAAGTAATTGGGAAAAATCATTGACTCACTGGGATTTTCTTGGTCTTAGGTAGTAAAATTGATGCACAGCAATGGTACACATTGTGTCTGTGCATTGAGTCAGAAAGCAAGGTAGCTCGGTCAGCTGTGCATGTATCTTTTATTTTTAGAATTATTTATGTAATTTTACTATTGCTATTTTTAAATTTGACCAGTGAGAGAGAGAAAGCAAGCCACCAAGTCTGGGACTCAAACTGCATTCAGACCTGTGGAAGTCCAGTGCCCTAACCATGTCAAATGCCAGCCCCTGTGGATTTTTTTTTTCAAGTGATTTTTTTGCTATAGGGTGAGTATGCTCTCCAGGGAGACAGAGACAGAGGACAGAAAGTGAGAAACCACCCCCAGGGGGGACGGCCATGCTGCAGTACCTTCTCTCAGGAATCTTGGGCACGCATGAGCACATCCCTGGTGTGAGTTTTAGGCCCCTGGTCCAGGGCTTGAACCATGGTTAACTGTGGAAGTCCAGTGACGTAACCATTATGCCATCTGCTTGTTCCACCTGTGGATATATCTTTAATGAGATGTATGGGTGCCTAAGTTTTTAGTAGTTTGCAAAAACTAATCATTTCATCTTTAGAACACAGATATATCTATTTTTTTCCCTTGGTGGTTTGTATCATTTGTGAAGAAAATTTTGGTCTCTTTTTCCTCACATGCTTTCTGTTATAAAAGTGTAGTCTAGCCTACTGAAGATTTTCTGAACAAAGTTTCTATCCTTGCCAGGTGTGATGATCAGATGTTTGGATGGGAGTTAGAGGTCTCAGGCATGTCCCTGCGTTCACTCAGCAAGCCCGGGCTGAGTTCTGGGCACTGCAGCTGGCATTGAGGTTACAGAGGTGCACAGGTATTCTACCCATTTTGGATCTCTCACGGATAGTGTCAGTGCTGTCTAGAGTCTGACCAGAACAGCACGGAGACACTCAGGAGAGCACATCTCGGGATCCAGGACGGTGTTGTTCATGTTGTGCCAGACAGAGGGGAGGAAGGGTATTTTAGGAACAAAGAACTCAGAAAAACACGCATGTGGCTCCTACGTGTGTGCCTTCTGCAGTGTGGTCTTGCGTTTTCTCAGCTCTCGTACAGCCAGGTCTGCAGGGCATGAGCTGACCGCACCACAGTCAGGATTGCGTGCTTTCTGTGGACAGTGCTCTGGGAGCCATGTACTTGGCAGCGCTGACTGGCAGCCTGCTCGGCCATCGTCGGGGAGCCACTGAAGCCTGTCTATCTGCAGACAGGGGCTGCCGAGGGAGGTAGGGTGTCAGCACCAATGCTCCATCCTCGAGGCTGGGAGGGATTTGAGGGCTGTGCAATTTCCCATAGACACGAGGGCCACAGGACCTGGAGCAGGCTCTGAGCTGGAACTGGTCAAAGTAGGAGCTCTACGTGTGGAGGAGCCGGGGAGTGGGGAGTATTTACGCTGGGAGGCTTCTGTCCCCAGGAGCTTGGTCTCTGCTCTTGCCTGCCCATGCCCCCCACCCCTGCAGCCCTTTTTTCAGCCCTTTTGGCGCAAATGAAAAGGAGGAGAGATGGGATGTGGGGACAGAGGGACAAGGGAGGCTTTTGAGTTGTCACGTGACACAGAGGCATTCAGGTGCCTTGATATGAAAGGGTTAGAAGTTTCCTTCCTAAGTCTTGGCAATTTGGAAAAAACTCAAGCAAATTAAACATTTTGTTTTAAAACAGCTAACTTGGGACCAGCAGTTGGTGTAATGGCTATGTCACTGGACTCCCATGTAGTCGACTGTGGTTCAAATCCTGAACCCGGCGGCTTAAACTCACGCTGGGTGCGTATGTGTGTGTGCGCCCAAGATCCTGAGAGGAAACTGCTAACTTGTCTATTATCAGTGTACTTATAGGGTTCCTTTCTAGTGCTTCAGTGGTGGTTTGGAAAGGAAAATAAAGGTAAATTTTTGTTTTGTTTTGTTTTTAGCTTGCTATAGGGCACATGCACTTGCTGGAGAGAGAGTGAGAAAGCACCCCTCCACCCCAGGGGGATGGCCATACTGCAGTTCCCTCCCCTCCATTTTCCTTTCAGGATTTTGGGCACACATATGCCATTGTGTTTGTCAAGCCACTGGGTCCAGGACTTGAATCATGTAGTTAACCTCCACATATTTGCTGACCCCTTAGTTGCTAATTTGCAGTGTGACCCAGGGCCTCCTTGGCACTGCTGTCAGCCACAGCCTCCTGATCTGCTGTTTCAAGCCAGTGTGAGTTCAGCCAGGTGACACTGCGGATGCTAGAGCATTGACTGTGACTCAGCTTTTGCTTTGTTTTTAATTATTGTGGGAGGACCTGTGTGCTCAGAGTACACGCATGCCCCTGGTGGGGTGTGGTCACCCCCAATCCCTCTCCTCTATGTCTCACCCCACTGTGGTGATAGGACCGTACGCCTGGCATGTTCCTCCCACCTCGGGCTGGAGTCAGGCTGCAGGTGACCTGGGGGCACTGGCTCCTCCGCCCAGCGGCACTTGCTGTGCCATGGGGCAGGCCCATAGCGTTGAAGAATGCGGTGACCACTGCCAGCCACTGTCACTTGTGTAGGTGCTTCCTCCTCTCACTCCACAGAGTGCATGTTCCGAAGCGATCTATAATGTGGAAATCCCAAAGTCGTATTCTCCTCCGATAGGTAAGGACCTGCTGAATAGGGTAGTGTTCCTCTGAGCACGGCTTGCTCTCAGGGTCATCTCAGTTAGTGTCCTAGGTTAAGGAGCTCACAGATGACAGCTGTGCATGCCAGGGTCCTCATGCTTTCAGGTAGCTATGGGCTTACTTTAAGTTTTTTGTTTTTTTTTGCCATAGGGTATATGTACTTGCTGGAGAGAGAGAAGTAGAGACAGATGGAGGGAAAGTGGCCTGACTGGCCATGTGCAAGTCGGGCACCTTGCCACCTCGCCACCTGCTGGCATAACGTGGGTTTTCTGAGTTATCTAAGCTCCAAAGTCAAAAGAAAGACAAGAGATAGCACCATGATCAGTTTGCCTTTAATTTTCGTATTTTGACATTTGGCCAGCAGATTAATTCAGTATTTATCCCAGGTTTGATACTGCATATCTCTTGTTAGTATATAAGGTAGTAGACTGTTGGCGTGTGCTGACGAGGCTTGTGGTTTGAAATAACAGTACATACTGAAGAAAATTTCTTTTTTCTTTTTTTTTAACATAAGAGGTTTTTACCTTAGGCTCGTGTGCTAGCAGCAGTGAGAAGGAAAGCGAGAAATTACCCCCTCGGGGGATGGCCATGCCTCAGCCCCTTCTCTTGGGCATGCACACCTGGCGTGAGTTTTCTTTTTTTCCCCTTTCCTTTCCTTTCCTTTTTTTTATTGGAGAGGTTTTTGTTGTAGGGCATGTGCGTTTGTCAGAAAGACAGAGACAGGAAGTGAAAAATCACCCCCGGGGGGATGGCCACACCGCAGTCCCTTCTCTTCCATTCTCCTCTCGGGATCTTGGGCATGCACACACATGCTCCCGGTGTGAGTTTAAGCCACCAGGTCCAGGACTCAAACTGTGGTCAGCTACATGGGAGTCCAGCGACGTAGCCATCACACCAACTGCTGGTCCCCTGGCGTGAGTTTCAACCACCAGGTCCAGGACTTGAACCACGGTCGGCCATATGGGAGTCCAGCAATGTAGTTGCTATGCCCTCTGCTGGTCCAGAGAAAATGTCTTTATGCGCTAAAGTGAAAAGCTGTTTGTGAAGGAAAATGTTGGTGTTCAGCATTTTGTTCTGGGCGACTTTCTGCTAACTGACCATGAGCCTCCTCTCCTCCTGGTTGTTTTAGCTGCTTTTGCCGGATTACATGGGACTGCCGGGCAGCCTGGCACCAACAGTAGGAGTGCAGTTCCCAACAGCAAAGCTGGCCTCACAGAGTGTACTCTCCTTTTACTTAGAGGAGTAAAGGATGTGCTCAGGAAGAGACTGAAGAACTACTACAAGAAGCAGAAGCTGATGCTGAAGGAGAGCGGCCGTCCTGACAGCTACTACGACTACATCTGCGTCATTGACTTTGAAGCCACCTGTGAGGAGGGCAACCCGCCCGAGTTCACACACGAGATCATCGAGTTCCCCATCGTTCTGCTGAATACGCACACCTTAGAGATCGTAAGCGAATGCCTGTATTCCAGTTCTATCTTCCATGCAGCGGTTCTGGTGGGTGGGGACCTCGTTTTCCATTTCAGTCAGGGTTGCAAACTTTGAACTTCACTCACAGCAAAGCTGTAATAAAGTGATCTCAGATAACTGCTCTTCTGTTCCAGCTGAAGTTGGTTTTTTTTTTTTTCGGTTTATTTAGAACATCAGGGCAGACCTCAGGATCTCCCGGGGAGTTATAGAAAACAACTGATGCTGCTAGTCCCAGAGACCCCGCCACTGCTCCTGGCGGGGACCTGACGCCAGCGCTGGTCAGCGCTCGTCTGCTGGTTTCCCTGCTGGCCAGGTTGAGAGCCACTGCTGGTGCCAGTGTGCACACTGCCCTCTGAGGGCTGCAGTCCAGGAGTCCCCGTCCAGCTGGAAGGGCCATTTTTCTCTTGTGGGGAAAAGACTCTCATGCCTTCAGTTTTTATGCCATGTAGCAGGTATGCATTTGAAACTGTCAGTGCATTGTGAGTGCAGGAAGCTGGAGCAGGAACTGCCCCGAGTAATACTGTTTGCCATCTACACCCGAGTGAGCCTCTCCCATGCCATCTTGCAGTGTAAGGTCACTTCTGTGGCTTCCCCATGTGCCCCGCACACTGGGAGTAAACATAGCAAGACTTGATGCAATTATACAGGTGGGTGTTTCTTAGTGCTTTTCAGAAGCTCTTTCTTTTTCTTTTTCTTTTTTTTTAATGTGCCAGAAGGCTTGTGCACTTGCCAAAGAGAAGACAGAGACAGAGAGGGAAAGCAAGAAAGTACCCCCATGGGCACGGTCACATCACACCTCCTTCTTCGCACCTTACTTCTGGATTTTGGGCATGTTTTTCAAGCCACTGGGTTTAGGACTTGAGTCATGCTGTTGGCCATGTCATATCCAGCCGCCTTCACCACCAGGACCTGGGCTGGTCCTCATTGTAATCTCAGTCAGATTCCAGTTCCTATTATTTCCTTGTCCAAAGTGGATTAAAGGTCAGTAAATTAAAGGAAAAAAATGGCACCTATGAAGGCAAATAATCTCTCAAAAGTTCACTTTCTCTCTCAAGGATGTTAGGGTTATTGCTTTCTCCTGTGGTGTCCCATCACCTGCAGACACTGCAAGCATGAGGACTTTGCTCTCACCCATGGTGCTGCCAGCTGCCTGTCCCTTTGCCCCTTGCTATGGTGCTGGTCTTCACATACGTTCCCTGTGCTGCCTCCTCCCCCATTACCTCCTGAGTCCACACGTGGTGGTTTTCACTCAGTGAAGTGGAGCCTGTGTCTTCAGTCCCCTTCACTCCGAGTAGCTCCTCGCCATCTTTGATGTTGGCCGACATCTGGCAGACGTGACCACTCCTCGACACGCAGTGCTGAGGTGACAGCTGGCACATCTTGGTTTCTGTCAGCCTTACTGGGCCGGCCCGTCTTGTGGTTCCGTTGCCAGTTCCTTCTCCCTAACAGCACCCCAGGCTCAGTCTTGCCTCCTGTGTATCCCCCATCCCTTGGTGAGCAGGTCTGGTCCCACAGCTTTGAGAAAGAAACTTGATGCAAACTACCTTCAGTTGTCCCACACCCAGACTGCTTACTGGCCCTCTCCACTAGTACATCTGAGTGTCATCTTCACATGTCTGCAGTCGAACTTGCCCTCACTCTAGCCTGCCTTCAGCCTGCCTTAGCTCAGGAAACAGTAGCTCCTTCCAGCTCTAGACGCTCCGTTATTCAGTTCATGAGCCTTGGCACTGTCCTGAACTCTGTCATGTCTATCTCGTGTCAGAGGTCAGGGACTCCTGGAGCCTCAGAATACACCAGAGCAGCCATGTGACTGGGCCACTGGGACTTCAGGCCAGGACCCTCTCAGGTCCTGTCTGTGTTTGCTGCATTTGCATCTGACCAGTCTGTCCTGTCCTTGTTCCTCTACGCGACCTGTCAGCGCAGTGACAGAGTCACCCTGAGACAGGTCAGACCCGTTTACCTTAGCGTGAAAGCCCTTGTCTCTCTCTGGTCTCCCACGGCGTCTGCCCTGTCCTGTTATGTTGTTGCTGTTACTCTTAGTGTAGCTGCTTTATAAGTTAACCTTCATCATAGCACAAGTTTAAGAAAAAATATAGCATGTACACACATAGGTATGGCCCGGTTTCAGGCATCCCATTGGGGTCTTGAACATACTCCCCTCAGCTAAGTGGAGACGGCTGTGAAGTTCACTTGTTTAATAGTGTGTAGAGAGAATTCATTCTTAGGAAATATAAGCATTTTCTCAGATGCTTTTTTAGTTACCCGAGGGTGCGTGTGCTCACTGGAGAGGCTCACGGAGAGGAGGCGAGCACCTCCCGTGGGTGCGACCCTGCTGCAGTCCCTTTTCCGCCAGCTCTCTGCCCAGGCAGGGTCGGGCACACACACGTGCACACACCCAGTGTGCTTTTCAAGTTGTTAGGCTGGGCCTTGAACCACAGTCGATCATGTGAGATCTGGGTCCCTTAACCACTAGACTAGGGGGTGGCCTGCTTAATTGGTTCATTTTTTTGTTTTTGTTTTTGTTTTTGGAGAGGTTTTCACTATAGGGCACGTGCGCTTGCCAGAAAGACAGAGAGAGACAGATAGAAAGCGAGAAATCACCCCCTGGGGGGGATGGCCACGCTGCAATCCCTTCTCCATTCTCCTCTCGGGATCTTGGGCATGCACGCACACGTGCCCGGCGTGAGTTTAAGGCACCGGGTCCAGGACTTGAACCATGGTTGACTACGTAGGAGTCCAGCGACATAGCCATTACGCTAACTGCTGGTCTCTCTTTTTTTTTTTTTTGCCTGCTTAATTGTTTTTGAAGTTCCTTTCTTTCTTCCCTAAGTCAAGAGGAGAAAGAGGCAGTCCCCCGTTTTGGCCAGCCCTGGGTCTGGGCACACGTGCTCACTTGTTCTGGGTGGTTCCCTGCGGGGTTGTGCAGCTACCCACCCGCTGTCCAGCTCATCCCCTTCTCAGCTCTTGGACCTCTACCAGAGAATGTGCTTTTCTCCATGTCTGCCTGGGGCCAGCACCTGCTGCCTTTAGGTCTTCAGGTTGTGAGAGCGCCCTAGTACCCAGAAAGCAAGTGCGTGTGGCCGCTGGGGCGGAGCGCTGGCTAGAGAACAGGCACTAAGAGACCCAAGCCTGGGCACAGCTACTAGGGTTGTTGGCACGGAAGTACAAAGGCCAGTGTGAAAGCTTGAGGGAAGCTAAAAGTTGCTATCAAAACAGTAATGTCAACCCTTAACTACTGTCTGTCAGACAGTTGAATTTTGACTGTTAGAATGCAGTTCAGTTGAATGTTACATGAAAATAGTCTATCTGGGATTAACACAGGAGCAAAAATGTGAGCTTATTTGTTAAACTGCAGAGTGGCATTCTCTCAAAATATTTATTATCATTGTGAAAATAAATATTGTGAAGTAGAGGTTTTTTAGGCTGTATAATTTTATATTATAATGCAAATCATCAACATTTAGCTACTATGGAAAACATTTAAATTTTGTCTTGACAGCTTGCTTTTTAGACATTTACTTTATCTTAAAATATTTTAAAACCATGAAAAAATGGTCTTTTAAAAATCAGAGCATCGTGGAACTAGCGTGATGGCTATGTTGCTGGACTCCCGTATAGTCGACCACTGTTCGCGTCCCGGACCTGGTGGCTTGAAACTCACACCGGGCACGTGTGCATCTGTGCCCAAGATCTTGAGAGGAGAATGGAGGAGAAGGGATTGTGGCGTGGCCATCCCCCCCTGGGGGTAATTTCTCACTTTCTGTCTCTCTCTGTCTGGCGAGCGCATGCGCTCTACGGCAAAACCTCTCCAAAAGAAAAAATCAGAGCACCGTGTGAGTGGGGATTCTGGAGTAGTGCACCTGTGCGGTTTCACGTAGAGAATGGCAGCTGGCGCCGTGTGTGCTGCGTCTGGCCTCACAGTGTGTTAACTTGCTGTCTCTTTGCTTTGTAGGAAGATACATTTCAGCAGTACGTGAGACCCGAGATCAACCCCCAGCTTTCTGAGTTCTGCATCAATCTTACTGGAATTACTCAGGTTGTAATTCTGTGTTCTTTCTTGTAGAGTTTGAAAGAGATTTTGTAATTAGAGATTTATAGTTTCTAAAAATTGTTATGAACAGTTTAGTGTGATAACTTTCCTCGTTTGGTAAAGATCTTTCGTATTGTGATACTTAGAAAATGTATGTAAAAGTAGATGTTACAGCTGGTACCAGTCTCCTTAGCCTCTCCTTTTAAGGAGTTGCCGTGACTCTTGTGCCTTCATTGGTGAGGGGGAGCACTGACCAGGCGCTGATATGCTGACTTTGGAGACACGCTTTAGGGTGACTTGACAGACGGCTTCGCTCCTACTCAGCTCTGAGCTCTGGTTCTGTCCTGATGTGGTGTAGGTCTTTGTCCAATTACCTGTTCCCTCCTTAGCTCATTCCACACATGTTCGAGGACCACAGTATCATAGCCAAGGGACAGGGGATTACCAGTCCCGGCGGGCTGTGTCCTCAGCTCAGTTTCTGTACGTCAGGACGACATGCAGAACAGACCAGGGCCACGGCCTGTCAGGGAGACTGACAAGTCAGTGTGCCACCGGGTACTGTGGGCACATCGTGCAACAGGAATGGAGGTAGACCTGGGCTTGATGACCTTGGTGGGGAGGCAGCCAGCAGAGAATGGCCAGGCCTTTGAGTAGCCCAGGGCGGCTCAGCTGTGTCTGAGCTGGTGACAAATGGTAGAGAGTTTAGAGGGTTTTTACACGTGAGAGGGTGGTGGATCAAATTTCTATTTTGGGTAGGTCAGCCTGGCAGTTAGTTGTGTGGAGAGTGGTGTGGAGCATAGTGTGGCTGGACGTGGAGTGGAACATGGTGTCGGTTGGCGTGGCTGGGCATGGAGTGGAGCGTGGTGTCAGCCGGCGTGGCTGGGCGTGGGGTGGAGCGTGGTGTTGGCTGGCGTGGCTGGACGTGGGGTGGAGTGTGGCGTCAGCTGGTGTGGCTGGACAGGGTATGAAGCGTGGTGTTGACTGGTGTGTTTGGGCAGGGTGCGGAGTGTGCATACAGAGATGTGGCCTTCAGCTAAGAAGAGAGCACACTTCTCACTTTGGAAACCCCACTAGATTGAGGTCTATAAACAGAACCACTGGGGATGATTTTAAAGTTTAATTTGGGGAGGATCATGTGCTTCAGGCGAAAGCAGTCCCTAACAGTTGGCTATCGGCAATGAAACTTTAGGTGGATCCATGCCAAGGAGCTCATGGAGCTTAAACATCGCAGAATACCCTTCCCGTACTGTCCCTTTGCCTCTGCCTCGGGGTGGGTACTTGCAGGGCCCAGGAACTGCTGGTTTATGGGTTTTACTTGTCTATCCTCAGGATCAAGTAGACAGAGCTGACACCTTCCCTCAGGTACTAAAGAAAGTGACCGACTGGATGAAACTGAAGGAGTTAGGGACAAAGTACAAATACTCCATATTAACAGATGGGTAAGTATTTAGGAGAATTATTTTTTTAATCTTCTTTTTAAGATTGACAGTGTCCTTTAATGTTTAGAGTAACCCCAAAAGATAATATCTATTAAAGGTCCTGGAGTCGTAGAGGAGAGTATTTTTCCTTTTTACATTCTAATTCCTATTTAAAATTTGAATCCTAGGGGTAAAAGAAAGAGAAAAACCTTAATAGTCTATTCCAGGACACGAGGGTAGAAAAAGACAAATATCAGTAAGTAAAGCTAAAGTGATGCTCCTAAGCCTCTGTTTTTATCATGGTATGTCCTTGCTCAAAAAGCCCACACTTCAGCTTGTCAGGCAGCATTCTCAGCCCAGTCCCCCGCCTGTTCCTACCCAATGTCAGGTGGCTCATAATCTCACGAGGTGTCCCTTCTCTGTACTTAGGCACGCCTCCATCTCCTGAGACGTGCACTCCTTCCACTGCCTCAGTCAGAGCCCACCTTGTGTGGGCGTTACAGCTCACATCAGTCTTCTCTCTGAAGTCTTAGAGCCTCTGATACATTCCGTTCATGTTGACCTCTGACCATGTATTCTGTTGTCTCCTCTCTACATGAGACTTACTTTTGCAGGGAAATTAAAAATCCTTTTAGAGTAAGGACTTTATTACCTGATGATGCTGGGCTCAAAATGTGTGCTCAGGAATACTGGTTAGATGAAAAGCTTCACGGGAAGGCCAGAGAGAGCTGAACTAGGGTTTAAGGCAGGGTTCCAGCACAGCCCCTGTACGGGGACGCCCTGCGGGTGGACGACGATGGGTGCCATCCTGGCTGGGTCATGCAGGAAGCCGAGCTGTAAGCGACATGCGGGCTTGGAGGCCTACCTGTATGATGGGAAAGAGCATTGGATTTGACCACATCCCAGATGTGTGTGACACATTTATGGGAGCTTAGAAATGTGAATGGGACCCCGCAGAAATCTGCTGATGATTTTAAATGAATGTGAAATGAGCAAAAGTCTTGCTAAAATATGCATGGTGTCTGTCATAATGCATTGTCTGCTATTCTGTAAAAACTTCCCATTCTGGGACAGGATTTTTCTTTTTTTTTCTTTTGAAGAATTATTTTATTGGGACTAGCATTTAGCATAATGGCTATGTCGCTGAACTCCCATATAGTTGACTGGTTCGAGTCCCAGACCCAGTGGCTTAAACTCACGCCGGGTGTGTGTGTATGTGTGTGTGTGCATGCCCAAGATTCCAAGAGAATGGAGGAGAAGGGATTGCGGCATGGCCATCCCCCCTGGGGGGTGATCTCTTGCTTTCTTTCTCTGTCTGTCTGGAGAGCTCACATGCCCTGTAGCAAAAAAATAAAAAATAAAAATTATTTTATATAACTTTATTTATTTTAATTTGACCAGAGAGAGACAGAGGGGGAAAGAGGGAGAGAGGGA